GAACTAGGAAGGCCGACCATGGCCGATACATAAGTGTAGCAGCTCTCAATAGCTTGAAATTCTTTTGCTCATTAGCAGCTGTTGTTGTTTTGGGACCAGGGGTATTGTTTCAGTTGTTTGTTCTATTGTCCTCTCAAAGGGTATCAAGCCATTCATGTGAGACCTTGGGAGAGCTGCCAGCCGACCCGAACGATCAGACATCTTCATTCAACGTGAGGTTGAATAAAAATGTTCAGTCTTTCATCCGGGACTTACAGCGGTTATACTCGATCCCAGACCTACCGATACGAGGACCAGCTTAATAATAAACATTTTTTGTCACTGCGCCCCTCACGTTGCATATTACAATGATTGTTAAAATATAATATCGTGAACCAGTGGAAATGAACAAATACAAAATTAACTGACAGACTCAAAAATTTTAATTTGGACGAGTTTCAGTTCCTATACGTCACAAAATTGAAATTAAGTGCCTTTCTTCATATTAACTCCAGACGGAAACAACTCGCTCTGTTGTTCTTTACGTTCCAGGCTTGTCTCTATGGCGACATTATGGAATCGGTTTTGGTGAGGTAATAGTGATTGTATCCCTCTCTCATCTTCATATCGTCAATTTCATCTCGTCCTGTCTCGTTATTCAACTGGCATTCTCCTGTCACCTTGTTGTGGTTAAATGATTTACATTGTTCATTCGATGACTTTGCACAATATTCCATGAACTGAAGAGAGTTTTCCACAGATTTCACAGACGACATAACGTGACCAGTAAGAGTGTGGTTAGCTTTGGAGGACGTATACATGACGTTCTTAAGTTGATCAGCAAATTCTGTAGGATTAAACAAGCCCACAAACATTAAAAGCTGATTTTACTTCAACATTACTCCAAGCTACACTGCAAATGCTCTATGGGATTAGTTATTTTAAGTTTGTTGGGGTTTCTCGTTATCTATACACTGGAGGCTCTCCGGCAATTGGTTTGGCTGATTATATCTTTAACCAACATCACACTTGGTTAAAACGGATGATTTGGCGAAAGTTTCTCAATAACTTCCGCCATGCTTCATCAGTATTCAGAAATTCGTTTCCAGACCAAATGAAAAAGTGTCTTCTTCAATATAACAATGCAGAAAAACACAACCAACTCAACCGGCCGTAACCAGATTACCCCCAGCTAGTTAGTTGTGAAGAAAAAGACTATTAAGTTGTCGTTTCGGTAGGACAGTTCGGATTTGACTGCCACTCATACTGCGGGCGCAGTCACCGTAAACAAGAATATTGCTACTTATACCAACCTAGTGTGTTTGTCGTGAAGCAGTGTTTTCCAGGCATAATAGGATGAACTTCCTTTAGCTTGTAAACAAAGAAGTCAGAACATTTCTTAATTTGAACTGGTAATGAATAATAGCAACAATCTTTACGAA